GACTGCGAGAGAGAGAAAGCATGAAAAGCTGCTGCTAAGTGGGCGTAGAGGAGAGACCTCAGATACAAAGTATAAAATACAAGGAATCTGAGGCAAAGTAACATTGAAAATATTTTAATGGACTAGAGATAAGAGAGAAGTGAAAGGAATTTGTCTGTTTTATCTGGCCAGATAGTGTTGTGCCAGCGATCGGCTTGAGATATATTGGTGGGTTTTTTACACCCAATTCTATGCCTGGTGTATTTGAGCGGAGACTGATTTAAGTATTACTTAAACAACGATTTCTACTCCTCTCATCCTCCACGTTTCAACAAAGGGGAGAGTCTGGTACATATTTAGCCCAGTTAAACGATTGAAAATCAGACTGATAATAGGAGGAGGGGAGACGCGGAAAGGCAGTGTTCTTCCGGCGAGGTTTTGGAGAAAAAGTGAATGGCTTGGAGAAAGTAAACTAAAGTAAAGTAAAAACTTACTGGGTCTTTGCACCACCATTTTCCTCCCAGTCTCCACCTGTTTTAAAGAGACATACTCCAATATTTAAGTAGGAGAAGGCTGGACTATTAATGCAGCGGAAAAAGATTGAGAACTCTTTGGCAAGAAAAGAAATTCAATAAGACAATTTGCCAGGACCCTCTGCCATTTACGGAATCCTTTTCATCGCGGAGTGTCTCTCCATTCGGTCCCGCCTTGCTCTCCTGGGTCCGCTCCCGGATCGAGACTCACCTCACAATTCTTCCAGAGTTCCAGAGAGCCACTACGCGATTACGTGACTTCACCTACCCGCCCGTGTATCTTTGGCGGTTACTTCTTCCTCACCTCCCCACCCACCCTTTATTTCCCTTTAACCCTTCCTTTAACCCTCTCTATTGTACGTCCCTAGGGTATCTTTTGAGACGCTGGCTTTCCCTATTTGTAACTGCTTTGTTCTCTTCTTTTTGTTTTTCTTTTTTGTTCTTTTCTCTTTGGTTCTCCTTTTTATTGGTTTTCCTTCTTAGGTTTTTTTAGCTGCTTTCTTTTTATTCCTCTTTGTTGTTTTTGCTTCGGTTGGTATTCAGCGTATCTTTGTATATTTGGTTCCCCCTAATTGTGTGATTGCTAATATTGCACAAGATTAGCTGCTTGGCCTTGTGCAGAAGGAGACATTCGGTTGATGAACTCTACTGAAGAGAAGAGAACTAAGACTTGGAAGGTCAACAAGGCGCCATCGTGTGGGATCAAAGGAAACTGCATTGGAAGAAATTAATGAGAGGAACAGGCCAGCAGCTCTCTTCAGTGTCTTACGGGGGGGAAAGTCTTTAATAATTAGTTAACTTAAGTTGACATACAAAATGAAAAAGGCGGTGGGAACGCCAGCAGAAAGGAGGCCATCTAGACAAGAAGATGGGAAGGAGGGAAAAGAGATCAAGGACTACGATAGTTTGATGGCTGAAATAAGGAAAGAATTTAAACATAATGAGCAATATATAGAGAAAAAGCTATTGGAAGTGCAGGATACATTAGATAAGAGATTAGAGGGGTGGTGGGAGAACTGACAGGAAAAGTCAAAGACCTATCGGTAAGAGCCAAAGTACTTGAGGATTCTATGAAAAGGGTGCAAAAGGATACAAAAGATAGTAAGAAGGATTTGGACAGAATTAAAATAGAAGTTAAGGAGATAGGTAAGGTACAGGAAGAATTGCTGGACAGTATGGCTATGACTCAGATGAGACAGAACCAACTAAATTTAAAATTTAGAGGGATCCCAGAGGACCCAAACGAGAATATAAGATCTAAAATGGTGAAAGAGTTGGCAATTTGGTTAGATAGGAAGGAGGAAGAGATAAGCTTCTCCCTAGCAAATATATTTCGGATAAAAACAAAATCGGCTAAAGCTAGGGGGGGGAAATTGCCAGGAGATGTAATAGCCATGTTTAACTCGTTGGATATGAGGAACGAAGTATTGAAACAGAATTATAGTAAAAGGTTATATATTGAAGGAAACCCAATTATTGTATTTAAAGAGATCCCTTCGAGATTTCTTCGAAGGAGGGATGTGTATAAAAAATTAACTAACCAACTGAAGAAAAATGGGATCCTATATAGATGGGAGTTTCCGGAAGGAATTTCATTTTACTTTAAGGATAAAAGATTCAAACTGTCCAGCCCTTCAGAACTTGAAAAATTTGCAAGAAAATACGAGAAGGAACTTGGAAGGGTTGCGGGGTGGGGGGAGGGAGGGGAGCGGCCGGGGGAGGGGGGCGGGGGCGGGGGGAGTGAAGAGGAAGAGAGAGAGATAAACTTAACAGAAGCGAGGGAAGAGGAAGAGAAAGAAGACAAAGAACAGCAGCTTTAAGCCAGATTTGATAATTTACTAATTGTACATAATAGATGGCTTTAAAAATACTGTCTTGGAACGTGAACGGACTTAACAATAAAAATAAAAGGAACCAGATTACACATATTTTATTAAAAAGAACCTTGACATAATCTGTCTACAAGAGACTCATGTAATAAGAAAACATAAGAGAATTCTGAATAATAAGAAACTAGGGTTGGATTTTGTGGCATCGGACAAGGTTAAGAAAAGAGGTGTGGTACTATATATAAAGGAAAAATTCGACCCAAAAATACTGTATAAAGACGAGCAAGGGAGAATGATAGTAGTACAGATTGTATTCCAAGGAATAAAAATAATTGTCGCCGGAATATACGCACCTAACGATAAAAAATCGGCTTTCTTCTTAGAATTAGGTAATAAGTTATTAGAATGGATCGATCAAAAAATGATATTGATGGGCGATTTTAACGGAGTGGTGTCACCAAATTTGGATAGGTCAACAAAAAAGCAAGAGACAAAGGAAGGCAAGCTACCTTGAACGTTTTTTGATTTGGTTGATAATATGGGACTAATTGACGCCTGGAGATTTAAAAACCCCACTATAAAACAATATACCTTTTTCTCAAACCCAAATCAGAGTTGGGGGAGAATAGATAATATTTGGATCTCGAAGGAGCTGACACAGAACTTAGCTAAATCTGAAATACTCCCACAAACTATATCTGACCATAATCCGGTATTTATGGAGATAAAGGGTAAAGATACTAGAGTATTTAGATGGAGAATGAATGAAGGTATATTTAATAATCAAAAGATAGTAAGGGAGGCGAAAGAAACAATCGAAGAATACTTCAAGTGGAACTTACACAAAGAAGCAGCTATAGAAACGGTCTGGGATGCAGGAAAAGCCGTTATGAGGGGCTTCCTAATTCAGAAAAACAGCCATTTAAGAAAAGAAAAAGAGGGGGGAAAAGAAGAGATCCTAACACAGCTTATGGAGAATGAAAGACAACTAGCTACTAAACCAGGTGACGAGACAATAAAGCAAAATTTAAAAATATTACAAGCCCAATTTTCTATGATAGTTAACCAGGAAATTGAGTGGAAAATTAAAATGATGAAACAAAAGAACTTTGAATCAGCTAATAAAATAGGAAAATTCTTGGCGTGGCAAATAAGAGAAAGGAAAAAACAAAATACGATCTGCAAGATAAGGGATGGAGAAAGGATAGTGGAAGAGCCAAAAGAAATAAAAAGGATATTTCAGACGTATTATAAGGAATTGTATAAAAGAGGAAAGGAAATAGATTATGAAATAGACCGATACCTGGAAGATCACCATTTACAACAGATTGCCATAGAAGAGAAAGAGTTATTAGACCAGAGGATTACAGAAGATGAGATAAGGAAGGCAAGAAAAAGATGAAAATTGGGAAAGCGCCGAGGTCGGATGGCCTACCAGCCAAGTACTATAAAACATTAAGTGAGCAATTATGCCCAATTCTATGTGAAGTGATGAATAATATTTTAAAAGAGGGAAGGATTCCGAATACCTGGAAGGAAGCATATATTACTTTAATACCTAAAAAAAGATGTGGATGCCTTAGAGGTGAAGAACTATAGGCCGATTTCATTATTAAATAACGATTATAAACTGTTTACGGATATAATGGCAGAAAGACTAAAAAGGGTATTAAAAAATAGAATTCATAAAGATCAAACGGGCTTCCTACCAGGAAGACAACTAAAGGATAACGTAAGAAATGTGATAGATATTATTGAATACCTGGAAACTAGAATAGATAAACAGGCGGCCTTGATATTTATCGATGCGGAGAAGGCATTCGATAATGTCTCTTGGCGCTTTCTGATGGAAAATTTGAAAAGGATGGGGATGGGAGAAAGATTCAGAAAAGGTATAGAGGCTATCTATCATGAGCAAAAGGCAAAACTTATAATAAATAATACTACATCAGAATTTTTGATATTTCTAAAGGGACGAGGCAAGGCTGCCCTCTGTCCCCCCTATTATTTATCTTAGTATTGGAAGTACTTACTAAGAGGCTGAGGGATACAGCAGAGGTTAAAGGAGTCAGGGTAGGAACTAAGGAACACAAAATTAAAGCTTTTGCGGATGACATTGCTCTAACATTAGAAGATCCAAAGCACAGTGTAAAAGAAGCCCTACAAAAATTGAAGAGTTTGGTGCTGTGGCAGGCTTTAAGGTCAATAAGAATAAGACTAAAATACTGACTAAAAATGTATCTAAAGAAGATATAGTAGACCTAGAACAAAAAACCGGAATTATGACGGCAAAGAAGGTGAAGTACCTTGGAGTCTGGATTACGGCTAAGAACATCAAATCTATATAAGGATAACTATGAGGTCACCTGGAAGAACATTAAGAAAGACTTAGAAATCTGGTAGAGAATGAGATTATCTTTTTTGGGGAGGATAGCGGTTATTAAAATGAACGTTTTGCCTAGAATGTTATTTTTATTTCAAACCATCCCGGTACTTAAAGGTTTAAAGCAATGTAAAGAATGGCAAAGAGCCTTGGCGAGATACATCTGGCAGGGAAAAAGACCACGAATAAAAATGAAAATACTGGTAGATAAAAAAGAAAGAGGGGTTTCTCCTTCCGGACTTATGTTTATACTATGAGGCGGCGTGTTTATCGTGGTTGAAAGACTGGATAACGCTAGAAAACAGAGACATCTTGGATCTTGAAGGCTTCGATAACAGGTACGGGTGGCACTCGTACCTGTGGTATGAAAAGGTGAAAGTACATAGAGGCTTTTTAAACCATATTTTTAGAGGGCCAATATTCCAAGTATGGGAAAGAAATAAAAACCTATTGGAAAGGAAGACACCCTGGTGGATCTCACCAACAGAGGTGTTAACGGTCAAAAAGTTAATATGGAAGGGAAGAATCCTACCTATGAAGAACTGACTAGGAAAACGGATCAAGGTATAAAACTTAGACCCTATGAAGAGATTAAAAACTCATTTACTGGGTGGTTGCAATACCACCAGGTAAATGACCTGTTAAAAGAAGATAAAAAGAAAATAGGATTCGAAGATAAAAAATCCAAATTCAATGTGGAAGTTGTTGAAGGAAAGAACAAAATACTGTCTAGAATATACGATATTTTATTGGAGTGGTATACAAAAGACGAGGAGGTGAAGGAGGTTATGACTAAGTGGGCAATAGACATCGGCTATAACATCGATTTTGAGAGATGGCTAGAATTATGGAATACTAACATGAAGTTCACGGCATGTATGGCATTAAGGGAAAATATGTGGAAAATGATATTTAGGTGGTACCTCACACCAGTGAAACTGGCTAAGATCTATAGGTTAAAGAACAAAAGATGTTGGAAATGTGGAGAAGTAGATGGTGACTTCTACCATATGTGGTGGTTATGCAGCAAAGTGAAAGGCTTTTGGGAATCGATTTACAACGAGCTTAAAAAAAATTTTAAATACACGTTTCCCAAAAAACCCGAAGCCTTTCTGCTAGGAATGACAGGTAAAGAAATCAAAAAAGAAGATAAGGTACTATTTTTAGATGCCACTTCCCTGAACAGGGCTGCCTTAAGATGTCTTCTGAATGTCAGGTAGTTGTTTATCGCTTTGACATCTGCTGGAAGGGCGTTCCACAGGGCGGGCGCCACTACCGAGAAGGCCCTCTGCCTGGTTCCCTGTAGCTTTGCTTCTCGCAATGTGGGAACTGCCAGAAGGCCCTCAGCGCTGGACCTCAGCGTCCGGGCAGAACAATGGGGGTGGAGACGCTCCTTCAGGTATACTGGACCGAGGCCGTTTAGGGCTTTAAAGGTCAGCACCAACACTTTGAATTGTGCTCGGAAACGTACTGGGAGCCAATGTAGGTCTTTCAAGACCGGTGTTATATGGTCTCAGCGGCCGCCCCCAGTCACCAGTCTAGCTGCCGCATTCTGGATTAGTTGTAGTTTCCGAGTCACCTTCAAAGGTAGCCCCACGTAGAGTGCATTGCAGTAGTCCAAGCAGGAGATAACCAGAGCATGCACCACTCTGGTGAGACAGTCCGCAGGCAGATAGGGTCTCAGCCTACGTACCAGATGGAGCTGGTAAACAGCTGCCCTGGACACAGATTTGACCTGTGCCTCCATGGACAGCTGTGAGTCCAAAATGACTCCCAGGCTGCGCACCTGGTCCTTCAGGGGCACAGTTACCCCATTCAGGACCAGGGAATCCTCCACACCTACCCGCCTCCTGTCCCCCAAAACAGTACTTCTGTCTTGTCAGGATTCAACCTCAATCTGTTAGCCGCCATCCATCCTCCAACCGCCTCCAGACACTCACACAGGACCTTCACCGCCTTCACTGGTTCTGATTTAAAAGAGAGGTAGAGCTGGGTATCATCCGCATACTGATGAACACCCAGCCCAAACCTCCTGATGATCTCTCCCAGCGGCTGCATGTAAATGTTGAAAAGCATGAGGGAGAGGACAGAACCCTGAGGCACCCCACAAGTGAGAGCCCAGGGGTCTGAACACTCATCCCCACCACCACTTTCTGAACACGGCCCAGGAGGAAGGAGCGGAACCACTGTATGACAGTGCCCCCAGCTCCCAGCCACTAAAGACGGTCCAGAAGGATGTTATGGTCGATGGTATCAAACGCCGCTGAGAGATCCAGCAGAACTAGGAAACAGCTCTCACCTTTGTCCCTAGCCCGCTGGAGATCATCAACCAGTGCGACCAAGGCAGTTTCAGTCCCATGATGAGGCCTGAATCCCGACTGGAAGGGATCCAAATGGTCCGCTTCTTGCAGGCGTGCCTGGAGTTGTTCAGCAACCGCTCGCTCAGTCACCTTGCCCAAGAATGGAAGATTTGAGACTGGGTGATAGTTGGCCATTGTGGCCGCATCTAAAGATCGTTTTTTAAGAAGCCGTTTAATAACCACCTCTTTCAGCGGGTCTGGGAAGGCTCCCTCATGGAGGGAAGCATTCACCACCCCACGAAGCCCATCACCCAGTCCTTCCCGGCTAGCTTTTATAAGCCAGGATGGGCAAGGATCCAGGAGACAGATGGTTGGCTTCACTCATCCAAGCAGCCTGTCCACATCCTCGGAGGTAACAGATTGGAATTGATCCCACTCAACTTGACTAGACAAAACTCTAGCACTCTCCCGCCCTGCTCCCACGGTGATTCTTCCCGAATCTGAGCGATTTTATCTGCAAAAAACATTGCAAAATCATTGCAGGAGAACATGTGGCCCGTACTGGGCCCCGATGTTGCAGGTGTTTCCGCTAAATTGTGAACCACCTGAAAAAGTCTCCTGCTGCTGTTTTCTGCAGATGCAATAGAGGCGGTGAAGAAATTCTTCTTCGCCGTCGCTATCGCCACTTGGTAGGCTCGATGTTGAGCTCTAACCTGTGTCCGGTCAGATTCAGAATGAGTTATCCGCCACCGGCGCTCTAGCCATCTCAACGATTGTTTCATTGCCCTCAGATCCGTGGAAAACCACGGGGCTGTCCGGGCTCCATGCAATTGGAGAGGGCGCTTCAGAGCCAAACAGTCAATAGCCCTGGTTAACTCCACATTCCAGCGGGCCACCAGGGAATCAGCTGAAAGGCCATCAACATGGGATAAAGCATCCCCTACCACTCTCTGGAAACCATTTGGATCCATTAAGTGGCGGGGGCGGACCATCCGAATTGGTCCCACCTCCCTGCAGAGGGGATGGGTTGCAGAGAAGTCCAGTTGCACCAGGAAGTGATCTGACCATGGCACTTCTTTCGAAGGGTAGTAGGAGATGGGTGATTGACTCAATGGGTATGATAAACCTGTTGACGACTGTTAACGACTGCAATTAGTCATACAGGAAAAAGCAGATGACCAAAAATAGCTTTAGCATGTGTACTGAGACAAGAATACAATATGTCTATTCAGACCAGGTCTCTCCATAATTTTCAGTTTAGTAATAAGTTGTAATTCAGCAACTTCTCTTTCAAGTCTATTTCTGAAACATGGCTACCTACCTGAATCTAGAAATTTGATTTCGGATCATGAACTTGGAATTTATTATTGGATGTGAACTTGAGACCTTGGTCCAACACATTTATATTAGCAGTGAACTTGGAGTTTTTATTTGAACTTGGAAGTGAGAATACAGACTCATTGGTCATATCACTTTAGATTGGCTCTTGAGGTCTGAACATAGGCTGGGTCTGGTGACTTAGCCATAGGCAACAAGTTCCCAGAGGGTGGAATTAACAGCAGATTTAACAACAATTGGATTTGAATATTTATGTTTGGAATTTAAGAGCATCAAGTGGACCTTAGCTTTGGTTGATAACATTGACCTGAACTTGGGGGCAGGCTTGCTATTGAGTGAGATCTGCCTCACCTGTGATCATTGGAGGCAATAGACATTTAAAACCTGGAAATATTTAAAAGCAGAGGCATCCTGCAGACTTTCAGTGAGACTGAAGGAAAAGGACTGTTGAAACATCTCTGCTATTAACTTGAATTTTCTGAAAAAGCAGCAAAAGGTTTATCTGACCTCCTTTTTATTATTTTCTTTATATTTTATGGTTTTAAGGATTTTCAGTTGTCTCTGACTTTGCAAGTCTGAAATTATATACATTGTATATTCCTTTGTATTAATACTCTGGGGAAGAAGCCTTGATCAGATTTCTGCAAAGCTCTTCTTGGTGGCCTTGACAGTGTCTGATAAAGATAAAAATAGTTCTGCTTCTTGAGAGGCAGACTATTTGTTTTGAGAACTTAGGCATACCGAAGGAGAGCTTTGGGAATTTAGAAGAGAAGCAAGGGGGGAGTATTAATATTCTCTGTAACTGACTCAAGGGATTTGTGGAGGATCTAAAGGAGTGAGGGAAGGTGGAAATGGCAGCAACCCCCTCGAACCCCAACAGGGGCTACGTCTCAGAGCAGAAGGTCCTCCTCTCAAGAGGTAGAATCTAAATCTGAGATGGTGGAATTATGTGCAGAATTGAAAAGAGATTTAAGTAACGAAATAAAGGAAAGCTTGACTGCTCTGGCAGCAGAAATTAGTAAAAATGCTAAAATGCTTTTAGATTTAATGGGCCAAGTCAAAGAACTGCCAAATAAAACTACTGCCCTAGAGTTATCGGTTAAAGGTACGGAAGAAAAAACAAAAAAATTGCAATCGGAGACTCGAGATTTGAAAAGAGATCAAGAACAATTAAGGGTAGATATGGATGGAACCAATGCATCTCAGGAAGCAGCCTGGGATACAATTGGGGTCCTGCAAATGAAACAGCGGGAAATGATTTTAAGACTCAGAGGCATCCCAGAGGAAGGTGAGCAGGATTTAAGAGAATATTTAATTAGTGTTTGCTGAATGGCTGGAGACTGAGCAAGAAGTTATGGATGCTTCAATTGATAGGCTATTTCAAGTGAAATCCAAATTTGCAAAGACTAGGAAACTACCAGGAGATTACCTGGTGACATTCAATTCAAGATCCATTAAGGACAGAATAATACAAACCGATTATTCAAATAAATTACAAATTGGAGGAAAGAATATTATTATTCTGAAGGAGATTCCTGCATGCCTTCTGAGAAAATGCATTAATTACAAATTTCGAAAAGATGCTCTGAGAAACAATAAAATACCTTATAGATGGGAATTCCCAGAAGGAATTTCCTTCACCTATAAAAATAAGAAATACAGATTCATGAGTATAGAGGAGGCCCAGAAATTTTGGAGGACATATAAAAAGGAGTTAGGAGAGACCAAACAGCTGACAGAACCAGAGGGAGTAGTAGGAGCTGAGGAAGAAGAGACACCTGACGATAGCATAGATAATCAAGAAGAAAGAAAAGGGAAAACAAGGCATTAATAAGTGACAAACAAAATGGCTGATTTGAAGATATTAAATAGGGATATAAATGGATTAAATAGTAAAGTAAAAAAGGAATAAAACTGAACATGTAATATTAAAACAAAATTTAGACATTGTTTGTCAGGGAGCTGCCATCAAGGGAGGGGAGAGAGGCAGGAACGTACAGAGAGCCTCCCCCTTTGTTGATCAGCTGCACCTCGTCAGAGTCTGGTGAATGTGAGCCTTCAGGAGAAATGGATGAAAAGGGGGGGGGGTGTTGCAAAGGCTCAATCAGGCTCAGATGAGCCACGACACCACTCCCAAGGAGTTTGAAATGCCACTTCCGTCACAGAGTTTTCGCCAGGGAATTAAACGTAAGGAAAAGAGGCAGAGAGGGGTTTTTCCCGGGCTTTGGTGCTGGAGGGCAAACAGGAAGAAACCACTTCTGGAATCTGCTAGTGATGGGCAGACATGGATTTTGGACTTTTGCACTGTACATAGTTTGCACTCAATAAAACCTGTAAAAATGACAGGTCGGAGTCCTGGCTATTATCTTTGTGAGCAACCACACACATTCCTTACAGCATTCCGGAGGTCTCTGAGGTTGCTTGCGAGGGAGAAGACAGCTCCGTGATAGATGAGGAAGCGAGGCGCCAACTTGCAGCTTTGACTCAGAGGAATGCAGATCTGGAAAGGCACGTGAAGGAGCTCAGCATCAGGCTGGAGGAACGCAGAGCACAGGACCAGGAAGCCAGAAGCATTCTGGTGGGGTGAGCAAGTTTAATGGGAACCCCTAGGAATATTTGGCTTTTAAGACTGAGATTAAGTATGCCCTGGATTTGCAGAGAAGAGAATTTGCCAGTGATGCAGAGAGGGTTGCCTTTGTGGTCAGTCACTTAGAGGGGGGCGCTAGAGAATGGGTGAGACCCCTGATTGCCAGCAACAATGATGCCCTCCGGGACTTGGTGAAGTTTTATGAGGCTCTTGATGCCATGTTTACCAGTGAAATCCAGGGAGATGTTACCCAACAGGATTTACTGACCCTGAGACAAGGTGGTTTGACTGTCCGCAGTTACTGGTCACAATTTGCGATGCTTGTGCACAAACGGGGCTGGGACTTGAGCTCTGAACCCGTGCAGGCTCTTTTTAGGGCAGGATTAAATTCAGACGCGAAGGATGAGCTTTCAAGGCCAAGAGTATGGATGAATTAACTAAGACTACCTTAGCCATTGGTGTGCGTCAGGAAGCCCGTGCGCTGGAGAGAAGGGAGAACAAAGGGGAGCATTTCCATGGCAACCGCATTACTGAGGTGCCAGCTGGAGTTTCTCAGGGATGGCCTCAACCAGAGCCTATGGAAATAGAAGCAGCCCATGCATGGGAAGATTCAAAGGCTGAGCAGCCGAGGGAAAGGACTGGAAAATAGCCAAGAAATGTTTCCTCTGCCAACGGCCAGGGCACTTTGCCAGGGTTTGCCTGCAGTGTCGAGGCTGGCAAGGGTTGGTGGGGGCCACCACACAGGAGGAGGGGGAAGAGCCAAAAGGAACAGGAAAATGGGAAAGCCTGGCTGATGGAAAACCGGGGCAGCAGCCAGGCAGGAGCAACATGGAAGAGCCCCGACCAGGCCCCCCCAAAGCAGGCATAGTGGTCAGGGTGTTGCTGGAACTCCCCAATGGCCACGCAGTGGAAGTACAAGCCTTGGTGGATTCGGGCGCTAGTGCCAACTTTTTCAGCAGGGACTTCGCTGTGCAGCACCAGCTGCACCTGCTGCCACTTGACTTCCCTCTGCAAGTTACCACGATTGATGGGAGGGATTTGCTGGGGGGGAGTCATGCACCAGACCCCTCCCATGTGAATGAGGGTCTCCACGCACTCTGAGACCATCGCCTTTCACGTGGCCACCTTAGCAGGGCCCGGCATTATTCTGGGGATGAGTTGGTTGGCTCTTCATGATCCAGTGATGTCGTGGCACCAGCGGTCCCTCACCTTCGAGTCAGCATACTGCATAAAGCACTGTCTCAGAGCAGGGGAACCACAGGAAAGGAGAGCCCAGGTGGCAACGGTATGTATGGGAGAAAAGGGCAAGATCCCTCCCCAATATGTGGATTTTGAGGAAGTGTTCAGCGAGAGGGAGGCTGACACGTTACTGCCTCATTGGCCGTACGACTGCTAAATCAATTTGGTCCCGGGGGCCAAGCTACTGGCGAGTAAGCTGTACTCAATGTCCGACCAAGAAATACAGGATTTGAAGGAGTTTATTGACAAAAACTTGAGAAGGAGTTTTATCAGAGAGTCCAAGGCGGTGGGAGGGAGTCCTGTGTTCTTTGTGGACCAGAAGGGGACGAGAGAGCGCCGTCTGGTGGTTGACTATCGGATCGTCAACAGCCTGACGGAACCCCTGGCCTTCCCCATGCCGAGAATCGACATTTTGGTGAGAGTCTGGAGGGGGGAAATTTTCACCAAGCTGGACCTCAGGGGGGCATACAATCTTATCAGAGTGCGAGAGGGGGACGAATGGAAAACAACCATGTTTACCCCCCCCTTGGGGCATTTGAATATCTTGTTATGCCTTTTGGATTACAAAGCCATGTTTCCAGGAGTTCATGCACCACGTGCTGGGACAGCTACTGTACAGTAACTGCATGTGTTTCTTGGATGATATCTTGATCTTTTCAGAGAATGAGGAGCAGCACGTGAAAGATGTGCGCCAAGTGCTAAGAAAGCTAAGAGAGCATTGGTTGTGGGTGAAACTGGAGAAGTGCTAGTTTCATGCTAGAGAGGTCAAGTTCCTGGGGTACCGGCTGTCGGATAGAGGTCTGGCCATGGATCTGGAGAAGGTGAAGGCAGTGTTGGACTGGAAAAGTCCCAAGACAAAGAAGGATGTGCAGTGGTTCCTGGGCTTCAGCAATTTCTACAGAAAGTTTATCAAGAACTTTGCCCACGTGACAGTGCCCATAACTGATTCCCGCAGTGGGAAGAAGTTTCTGTGGACTGAGGAGGCGCAAAGGGGATTTGAGAAACTAAAGAAGGTTTTTGCATCGGAGGGGCAGCTATTGCATGTGAACCCTGACAAGCTGTTGTGAGCGGAAACTGATGCCTCAGATCGGGCCATCAGAGCAGTCCTGTTGCAGCAAGATGCCGGGGGAGATTGGAGGCTGTGCGTCTTTTTCTTCAGGAAACTGAACAAATTGGAGCAAAACTACAGTATCTATGACAAAGAATTGCTGGCCATTTTTGCGGCTTTTAAGCAGTGGAGGCACTTCCTGATTGGGGCGAAGCATCAGATACAGGTGTGCGCGGATCACAAGAACCTGGAGTACTGGCAGACCGCGTGCGTGCTTTGCCAAAGACAAATACGCTGGGCGGAGTTTTTTGCCAGTTTTAGGATCCAGTACATTCTGGGAGAGCAGAACGTGAGGGCAGATGCACTATCTCGCAAACCAGAGTACTGGGAGGAAGAGGGACTGCATGGGAGGGACTGTACAAAGTTGTGTCCAAAATGAGTGATGTAAATTACGTAATCCAACCAGGGGAAGAAGGGCGTAAGGTGGTTCATGTGAACATGTTAAAGCCTTATCTTAGACCAGAAGGCTGGACACTGTATGCAATACGTGAAGATCCAGACGAAGCCGATATAACATGCTGGGAAGGGAGAGGGGAGCAATTGTGCAATCTACAAGAAATAAAGATAGCTCCTACATTAACCCTTAATCAGCAGGTGGAGGTTAAACAGATCCTACAAGATTATAAGGAAATTTTCAGTAATACTCCAGGTAGAGCTAAGGGAGTTGTACATCATATCGACACCGGGGGTGCCAAGCCCATTGCTGTAAACCCCTATAGGATAACTGGAGAATATGTGGGGAAAGTTAGCAATGAGGTAAGGGAGATGTTGAAGGCAGGGATCATAATCCCTTTGGAAAGCCCTTGGGCAGCACCCATAGTGTTATTAGACAAACCTGATGGATCTATCAGATTTTGCCTGGATTATAGTAAGCTGAACCATGTTGCTAAAGCAGATGCATATCCAATGCCGCATTTAGATGATCTGATCAAAGCTATAGGCCAGTGTCATTACATCACCTGCCTAGACTTAACAAAGGGCTACTATCAAGTAAAAATGGACCCTAGGGACCAGGAGAAAACTGCGCTCAGAAGTCCCTTAGGGTTGTTTGAGTTTAAAGTAATGGCCTTTGGCTTAAAGAATGCGCCAGCAACTTTTCAGCGATTGGTGGACAAAATCCTGAACGGATTAAGAGAGTTCACAGTTACTTATTTAGACGATATTGCTGTGTACAGTCCAACTTGGGATAAACACAAAGAGCAATTAAGGATAGTGCTACAGCGAATTAGAGGCGGGCTTAACCATCAAAGCTAGCAAATGCCAGATAGGGGGCTCGACTATTCAATACTTGGGACACATGGTGGGAGGAGGAGTGATGAAACCTTTAGAGACAAAGGTAGAAGCCATTTCAAACTGGCCTACCCCTACCTCCAAGAAGAAAGTCAGAGCTTTCCTAGGACTAGCCGGTTATTATCGAAAATTTATTCCAAAATCTAGTGAGTTAGCAGTGCCTTTATCTGACCTAACTCGGAAGAAGGAGCCAGATAACGTCAAATGGACAGCAGCGTGTCAGCAGGCCTTTGATGCCTTAAAAAGTGCCTTGACGTCAGGACCAGTCCTTATTGCTCCTAATTACGATTGTGAGTTCACCGTCTTCACCGATGTATCCAATGCCGGGATCGGGGCCGTGCTGTGCCAACAGGGAGAGAAGGACGACCTGCATCCCATCACCTTCATAAGCAAGAAATTACTTCCAAGGGAAAGACATTTTTCGACCATCGAGAAGGAATGCCTTGCCATCGTGTGGGCATTACAGAAACTGAAGCCGCACATCTGGGGCCGAACTTTTATCTTACGTACTGACCATTCACCCTTGCTGTGGCTGAGAACAATGAAGAATAACAGTAAGTTGATGAGGTGGGCACAACTGAAAATGTGAAAGGGACCCTGAACACCGTTGCAGATGCCTTATCGAGAAGACCTGCGGTTGAAAGTTAACCAGTGCACAGTTATAATTTTTATGTAGTTAACTGAATACCTAAGATGTAACAGGTTTTTGTATAAATGTATAATTTACCAGAACAAAGTAATTGATGTACCAATGTTATGTGGGATGTGAAGGGTGTAACAACAGGTTAGTAATGGTTTATTTGCATTAGACATGTAATGCTGATTGATCAGGAGAATAACTAGGTTAAGTTATCCCTCCTGAGTCAATCTTCTTAAGGGGGGAGGTATGTGGCGTTTGCCTCCTAGGTGGGTGTCAAAGCTGCCTCAAGTCTCAGCTCACAAAAGACCAACGCCTATGTCTTCTTATATACAAAGGTGTTTATTGCAGTTCATGGTTTGCTTGACATCCTAGGCGCGCAGCCTTACGTCTCTTACGCTTAGACCGCTGAAGTCCCCTCTGAATCCGTCCCTCACCTGCACCAATTTAAGAGGCTAGCGCTGCTCCACCTCTTTCTCTCCTTCCTTTCCGCAGGGTCCTTCTGCCCGCTGGGGTTTCGCCCCTCCTGGATTCCTCTGACGCTGAATCCCCAGACTGCTCTTCCCCCTCCTGCGGGCTTTGGGACCTGGCCCCTCCTCCGGGCTCCCTGTACTTCCGCGCGCCTCTACATTTGAACTAGGCGCGCGCGCCAAACCTCTAACTTTCCTTTTGACAGTTACACTACTCCCTTCACTGCTCCCTCCCCTTCCGGAAGGGCGGCTTGCTCTGACCTCCCTCCTTTCTCTGCTCCCGGAGCTGCTTCCTCTGACACACTGGAAACTCCACCCCTTCGCTGCACTCTGGTGGGGAGGCTGGTCCTGACGCCCAGCTGCCACTTTGGGATCCTCCGCTGGCCCCCTGCTCCTGACACGTCCCCCCTGGGGCTCCCTGGCCTTAACCACCGGCGCCCCCTTCTGGGAATCCTCTGATTCGCTGGAAAGACTCATGGAATCTCTTGAGTCATTGTCATCCTCTTCCTCGCTGGCTTGGAATTCCTCCCCATCGCTCTCCATCTCCTGCCTACCCTGTGCCTCTCTCCCTGAACCCCTGACAGTGGGTCATAAGGAAAGGGTTAAATGAGTGTGATGTGATTGGCCAGAGAGAAACTGATAGGAGGAGTTAGAGTTAGGGTGGGAGTGTGTGAAAGTCAGTTGAGAGTTGGAAGTTGGAGAAGAAAGAGGGAGGATATAAGTCTGTGGGTTGGTCGAGTTGTGTGGTGAGAGAGTGAGAGGAACTGTTAGGTGGAGTCAGATAGATAGATAGTTGGGATAATCAGTTTGAAGTTGTTAGGAACGAATAGGACAGTTAAGTAACTAATATTAAGAAACTGCCAAGAAAAATTGACTGAAACCATAAGCTTGTTCATGCCTATAAAATAAACTTGATTATTTGTTAATGTTAACAACTGTCTGGACTCCGTGTGTACCCGTGAGAAATGGGTTGGTGGCAGCGAAGAAAGCAATTACAGTGGTGGCACAGGGTCAATAGACCGTCAAACGTCCGGGGAATCACCACAACGGGATTCGGATAATCCCATTTTATGGATTTGATATTGCTTTTATGTATATTTTTCTTTGTTTGTGATTGTTGTTGTGTTTGTTGTTTGTTGTTTATTTTTGTTATTTTTGTTGAAAATTTAATAAAAGTATTATAAAAAAGAGACTTTGAAAAAGACCAAAAAAAATTAATAGGTATATAGTTTTAATTCTATCAATGTTTAATTGCATTTTAATGAGTTTTTTGCTATGTTTTTAGTAGTTGCTTTTATCTGTAAACCACCTTGATCCCATCAGGGGAAAAGTATAACTATATTAAGAATAATAGCCACCCAGTGAGACTCTTGGTGGAAGGGGGGTTTCCTGGCAGTGGATGGACTTCACTGATGCTTTTTGGACACTAAAGTAAGCCCAAGAAAGGGTCATTAAGCATAGAGCAGTCACTAAGAAAAAGCAGCCTGGCATTTGTGATAATAACTGCTTCCAGAGCACAAAAGGCATCACTACACAGGTGAAGGATGAAATGGAGACCAGAAGCTGTTTATGAAACAAGGGCCCACATTGTCAAGGCAGGGATGAAAGGTGGGGTTGCCAGGCAGTGATTTTCTCTGAGCTTAAGAAAAACAGAAGATAGAGCTACCAAGCACGTTTGGGAAGGAAATGAAAAAGGGTGTGCATGGATTTATCTTATTCATCCCTAGAGACAAACAAATCCATCTAAGTCTTGAGGTTAAAAGGAGTCGGAGTTTATGAACCATATGGCCGTATTCTTCCCTGTATTCTTTAGGCAAGGAGTGGGGAATTGTTATATTTCAAAAAGTGAAAATCTGGACACAAAAGTTATTGAGCTTTGGAGGGGGTTTCTTTCAAAGTATAGCATGCTGTGAACTTTGGGTCGCAATTCCATAACCTCTCCCACGCTGCCAATTTTATGTTATAACCAAAATCCCTTGCCCAGTGTATCATCACTGATTTGACCTACTTGTCTTTCGTATACCATTCTAATAACAATTTATACATTTTCAAAAGTAATTTAGCCTTATATTCTAGCAGCTCTTTTTCAAATTTAGAAATTTAGAAACCTGGGTGGGTGAACAGTGTGGAGTTGGTCTCACCTAGTTGTGCCCACCTGGGTACTCAGTGCAGCACCAGGCCAGACTTGAGGGTCAGAGAGGGCAAATTGTTATGGTCTATAGAGATTCTTTCTGTGTCTCCAGGCTCCCTGTCCAGTTGGGGGGGGCGGCCTAGGGTGTGTGTTCGGTGTTGGCAACTGGGACAGGTATTCTGGTGGTTTACTGACTGCCTTGCTGCCCAGCAGTCTCCCTGGCTGAGCTGACAGAGCTGGTCTCGGAGGTAGTGTTGAGGACGAAGTTCTGGGAGACTTCAAAATCCATGCCGAGGCAGCTGGTTCTGGGGTGGCTCAGGACTTCATGGCTGCCATGACAACCATGGGGCTATCCCAACATGTCACTGGCCCAATGCACATGGCAGGCCACACTCTGGACCTTGTCTTCTCTACTGGACAGGAAGAGGGCGATTTGAAGGTGGGGGACATTGACATCAGTCCCTTGTCATGGTCAGATCAAGGATGCCAGCACCTTTTCCCCTCTGCAAACATGGGGGACCTATTAGGAAGTTCCACCCTTGGAAGCTGATGGATCCAATGGGATTCCAAACAGCTCTGGAGGATTTTCTGGCTGATATGACTGGTGCTCCTGTCGAAGCCCTGGCTGACCTCTGGAACACCCGAATGGCTTGGGCTATTGACACGATTGCCCCTGAGCACCCTCTCCCACTTCGTGGAACCCGATTGGCCCCCTGGTATACTCCAGAGCTTAGGGTGAGGAAGCAAGCTGGGAGATGGCTTGAATGCAAGAGGAGGAAAGATCCGAATGAATGCAACCAAACACTGGTAAGGGCTCATTATTGAGCCTACCTAGTGGCAGTGAAGGCAGCAAAGAAGGCATACTTTGCTGCCTCCATTGCATCCTCATCATGTCGTCTGGCAGAACTTTTCTGGGTTGTACAGGGCCTTTTACAGGCTGACTGTGGTGAAACCAATGGTAGCTATGAGTTGTTTGCAAACCATTTTAAGGATAGAATTGCTTGCATACACCAGGATCTTGACTCTGCTGTTATAGCAGATCATAGAATAGAATAGAATCATAGAATCATAGAGTTGGAAGAGACCACAAGGGCCATCGAGTCCAACCCCCTGCCAAGCAGGAAACACCATCAGAGCACTCCTGACATATGGTTGTCCAGCCTCTGCTTAAAGACCTCCAAAGAAGGAGACTCCACCACACTCCTTGGCAGCAAATTCCACTGTTGAACAGCTCTTACTGTCAGGAAGTTCTTCCTAATGTTTAGGTGGAATCTTCTTTCTTGTAGTTTGGTTCCATTGCTGATCCACTGATGAATCTCATGGGGTGTCCAGAGCACAGTCTAGTCCTTTTGTGTTGGATGAGTTGCAGTTGGTAAGGCTCGAGGATGTAGACAAGGTGCTTGGATCAGTCAGGGCAACCACTTGTGCTCTAGACCCTTGCCCCTCTTGGCTGATCCCTCTGCTGGATTTTCAGCAGGGAGAAAAAAACAGTTGGCTGGGCCAGGGAGATGATCAATGCCTCTTTACAAGAGGGAGTGGTCCCTGCCTGTTTCAAGGAGGCAGTGGTAAAACCACTCCTTAAGAAACCTTCCCTGAATTCAGAAAACATAACAAACTACTGGCCAGTTGCTAATCTCCCTTTCCTGGACAAGGTAAAAATAAAAATAAAAATAGAAATATTATTATTTATACCCCATCCATCTGACTGAGTTTCCCCAGCCACTCTGGGTGGCTCCCAACAGAATAAAATATCAAACATTAAGAACTGCCCATAACAGTTCCCTAAACTGGTTCTGAAGAGAGTGGTCACAGACCAGATCCAGGTGCTTTTGGAAGAAACTGATTTTCTGGATCCATTTCAATTGGGGTTTAGGCCTGGTTTTGGCACAGAAACTGCTTTGGTCGCCCTGTATGATTGACCTCTGTTGAGAGAAAGACAAGGGAAACATGTCCTGTTAATTGTTCTTGACGTCTCAGCGGCTTTCGGTACTATCGAAAATGGTATCCTTCTGGAGCGACTCTCCAAACTAGGGGTGGGTGGCACCACTTTGCGGTGCTTCCAGTCCTTCTTGGATGGTCATTCGCAGAGGGTGTTACTTGGGGAGTGCTTTTCAGCCCTGTGGAACCCTCAATGTGGGGTTCCGCAGGGCTCAATCCTATCCCCCACATTGTTTAACATCTACATGAAACCGCTGGGTGGGGCTATCAGGAGGTTTGGAGCATGTTGTCAGCAGTATGCTGATGACACTCAGCTCTGTTTCTCCTTTACATCTGCAGGTGAGGCAATGGAAGTGCTGGACCAGTGTCCTGCCTCGGTAATGGACTGGATGAGAGCCAACAGACTGAAGCTC